TTTTTTTTGTTGTGAACTTTAAATATGTTTGGATCATTTAGTTCAGTATTTTTAAATGAATGTAGAGTTGTTAATTTTTTAGTAGTCACCAAATCATATACTTTTATAATTTATTTATTTTACGTGGCTTGGCAAAGTACCTGCCAAAATTATTTAAAGCATTAGTAACCTTTTAAACGTATGAAATAACACACATTCGGTACCACTCATATAGAACGAGAATTGAATTACAATAATATCTAAAATAATTTGTTCAAACCATTAATTTTAAAAGATATTATAATACTAGTTTCCAGCACAACTTTCTATTGAATTAAAATTTTAATAGTATGTTTTTATTGCTGCGAGTTTTTTCTTATATTTTGAATATGTCTTGTAGGTAGGATTCTTTCATATTTTATGATCACCAATATAGTGTTGTAGTCCTTTGCTTTTGGTTAGGAAATGTGTCTTTACTCCCCCCCCCGCGAAGAAAAACTCTTTGTTTGATAAAATACCATCGATGATCGAAACGACGCGAATGATAATAAATTGTTACAAAAGTTTATTTATGTGACAAACCAAAAACAATATAACATAAGCAACTATAATACAGACGATAAAAAATTTCTTTAAATATGTACTTTCACTTCCACAGATTTCTTTTTTTCTATAGTTTCATTGACTCAATGAGAAACATCAAAACGTCGTGCGTTTAAAACACAAGAATAGAGTTTCTGAAAATTACAAAAAGTAATAAAAGTCATTCTCATAAAAACTTTTTACATGAGAATCGTCAAGTCGGTCTTAATATACAGTCAGTACCTTCGTAACGAATGCTCTGTACATGAGCTTCTAAATCAGGGTTGAAAAAAGTGATGAACTGATTTTCTTATTTTTTTACTTCGTTCTCATGAAACCTCTGCCTTCCCTACTACTATTATAAGACGTTTGCTATTTGGTTTTCAGTCTTCTTAACATTATTCTAGGGTTTTGAAGGTATATCATACGAAAGTTCCCTATGTTTGCCGCATTCTCGCTTCCCTAGGTCAATTTTTACCAATTTGTAACTGTCATCATTTTCATGGTTGTGAATCGTGGGAATACGTAACCGAATTCTACAAACAGTTGCAGTATGATACAAATTTCTTCCTATTTTCAGTGCATTATTCGACTATTAAAACGTTTCAGTAGCATATTATTTTATTGTCAAATAGTCCAAACACATATCAAGTCGTAACAAACACAGCATTTTGTTTTGACAGTAAAATAAACCATGATGTGTACAGATATCTTCTATTTGCACAACTTGAAATCTAAGCGCGTATTAACGAAGCATAAATAACTTAAATTACCTCATTAAATTCTAACATACAATATTATGTATTAAATTACACGTCACTTTATCTTCAAGAGTATGCTTCTTTGCATTTCATATTCATACACTCCTTATAGATAACCTCATTTTTTAGTGCTACATTTTTTTCACACTTTTGGTTGGTGAAATAGCCAAAATACAGCAGTTTGGGTGTACTAAATTATATATTATTTCTTTTTTAACGAAGTCATAAAACAGTAAAAATGAAAAATCATCCATTCTTCTATCTGATTTATTTAGTTTCTTAAAAGCAATGTTACATTTTATTATGTCAGTATAAGAAAACAGATTTTATCTTGTTTTCATCAAAATATATTGAGTAGACAAATTAAAAAAAATGAATTTGAATTTGGTTTATATCTAAACATGGGTTTTGTTCTTAGCAGATTTCACTAGCTTTACTAATACGTCAAAGTAAACGACACAGGAGAGTGTATTGAATGTCTTTTATAATTAAATAAAAGTATTTGCGTTATAAAAATGAATTTCTTGTTATATTTTTTACAAATCTTTGATAAAAATAAATTATTCATATTAGTTACACAAAAATGCTGAATGTTCGAAAGATATTATTAAACATGCTCCTTGCGTTATATGCGATTATCCTATTAAGGTGCATTACTGTAAGAAGATTTATTATGTTAATATATATCACACTTAATTGTATACTGTTTAATAATAATAATAATAATAATAATAATAATAATAATAATAATAATAATAATAATAATAAAGTTGATCCGATGGCCGAGATTCCTAAGGCAGTAGTGTCGTAGCTATATCGGACCACGTCCTGATTTTCGAGTCCCTCCACGGGCATGGTTGTGTTGTGTGTATATCTCTATGTTATCTCTGTATGTGCGTCTACTTCATCATTTATCGTCAGAATTTTACCCTATATCCCAGGGATAACTACCCTGGGGTGTAAAAAAGGAATCAACATTAAAATGCTGATCCCCCTCCCCCATTGGAAAGTAACATGCATCTACTCCGATATTCAAGACTAAGCCCCGGCGGGATGTACGTATCGCTGTGGCCCCATAATGACTGATTCTCGTGAAAAAAGATCTCGTGAAGAAATGTATAATAATAATAATAATAATAATAATAATAATAATAATAATAATAATAATAATAATAATAAATTGAATCTCTGACAGTGAATGAAATTGTGTTTTTTTCGGATGTTTCGCTTATGAACCGTGTGGAGAGAATGATAAACGGCCCTAGGACTCCGCTGTGTTCTTCGCCGTCCGACTCTTTCTCGCCGCGCGTCACGTCGCGTAGCTCCCCTCGGAGCGGCATTGGTATGCGCCCTCACGCGGCAGGCTGACGAACGTAACGACATTCGACTAACGAAACGCGGCGACACGCCCTCCGTATCACTCTCCTCCGCACTTCCTCTTTGCCTTCTTCGCGTTCTCTTTCTTTCTGCGCTACTCTTTCTCCAGTGTCTATCTCTCACACTCTCTCTTCCTTTCTCTCACACACTCTCCCCCTCCTCTCTTTCTCCGTCCCTCTCTTTCTCTCTCTCTCACACACACACACCCTTGCTACCTTCCTTTCTCTCACACACTCTCCATTCCTTTCTATTTCTCCATCTCTCTCTCTCTCTCTCTTACTCTTTCCACCATTACGAAATTTGTCATTTCCTATTTTCTGTCGGGCTCTCACGATCTGTACATGTTATATTTTCCTCCCATGAATTAGAAGAGGATATTTAATGTGGTACATTATCAAAAATTATTGTAATAAGATATTTCTTCTTTGATAAGAAACTTTCATGTTTATTAATCACAAATAGGAAATAATTTTACAATATATAGACAATGAGTATCTTAATTGTCTGTACCTTAATACTGTTTACATTATTAGCTTGCAGCTATTTACAATAAATCGTTTTAAGTTTCAGGACCATAAGATATATTTGAATACATTTAAGTGTCCTTTCGTTAATTTGAAAATTATCTGTTTCATTATATTTGTATACAGATGGGTAAAATTAAATATCTGGATAGATGTTGTCGAACGATTGTTTATGGTTCTCAACACTTATAAAATATTAGTTATGAAATAGTATCCACATTTAGTGTATAATAGTTCGGTATAGATCCTTGTGAATCTTGAAATTTCATATCGCTAAAACTACAATATAATCACGTATTTAACGCTATTATCTAAATTATTTTCATTGCTATGAAATATCAAAAATAACGAAAATATATAATATAGATTTTAATTCTTGTGATATACTTTTGAATGCTCTCTTTGCTTATTCTATAAATTTCAGTGGTTTTGTGAATCCTGAAAATTCACAACTTTGCACAAAACAATTTGAGTTTAAAGCATATTTGTTTAAAAACTATGCATATCTTCAGTGATAAAAGAAGTAAATATCGATGCATTTATTATCACTCTTCTGTTCATTAACCATTCTGTACTTAGTATGGACATGTTTATTGTGGTCGTTATATTCATAATGCGTACCTTTATAGCCAGCATCATACCCAGGTCGTTATTCCGGTCATTACAGCCCTTGACGACGTACTAGATAATAAACTGAATCGTTTCACAAAACGAAGAAAATCTTGAGTACTTTTAAACCATTCTAGAGAGAGTTTATGACTATTTTAAATTCAAAAGAAATATATGTAATCAATTGTCTATTTTATTTCTCGTCACAAGTGTAGTATTTTCTGTGCCATTACTTGTATTACAACTGAATGTCTACAAATGTGTATTAATGAGGGTAATGACTTCTTTATACAATATATTATTTACTTCTATGTTAAAGATGACGCAATGAAAATATTTATATAGAAAACTCTCATATACTACAAATTTATTTTGTCTATTTTTTCATTTCTGATTCACGTGAAATGAATTGCTTACTTTCAAAGCTAATTTCATAAAAATGTTAATATATAGTATTCACTGCTTTAAAGTGTCAGTAGTAAAATATATTTTCCCCTGAATATATGACACAATTCATCAAATTTTATTCTCTATTCTACTGCCCTGTTAACCCGTAAGTAGTCACGTAAAGTGTGTAAGCATTTCGAAACGCTTTCTAATAATTGACAAATAAAATGCATCCATATTGCGGCTTAGAAATTCTCAGAACCCTCGCGATATTACATTTGATTTCTTCCTTCCAAAAAAAGAAAATCCTCTTAACATGTTATAGGGATCGAGGTATCATTCAATGTATTGACGAATGACATTGAAATGTAGCTACAAAACTGGCGAATTGAAATAATAGTTCTAGTTTTAGAGTTATGTTCCTGAAAATGAAATATTATAGGAAGTCAGTTAACACAATTGTTAATGAAATCTTGCACAACAGTTTCTGGACTGTGTATGGAAAACATGATACAAAAGATGTATTATTTAGCACAATAAGCACAATATATTATATATGTAAGAGTTGTATTTGAAAAAAATGAAATTTATATTTCATTCGGTGTATGATTTATTCTACATTTCTATGATAACGAATGTATGTTTGTGTGTCCTTCAAAACTTTTTAATCAACAACACGATTTTCATTAATTTTATTATACTGATACAACAACTTGTAATAGCCCAGTGTGGCAATTTCATTACACCTTTCCATTAAGGTCTTTTTTATTTTCGTTTTAAGGCAGTATGCAAGCGTTACAAACCGGTAGCACGGGCTGAGCAAGCGAAGGGGTCTTGTTCGGGGCAGCACCGGGTGGGAAGTAAGACACCCTTCATTCAGATTGGAGTAGGTGGGAGTAAGAACTGGTCGGGTCTAGAAAGGAGACTGGAGCACAATGGGTAACACGGAGTGTGGGGCGAGCGAGATAGAGCAGAGTGGAAGGTGAGAAGCGGGGGAGGGAGGACGGAGCAGAGTGGAAGGGGGCAGGGTGGTTGTAGAGTGAGGAGGGGCGGAGGGGATTGGGAGAACGGATGCGGGGTGGAGGGGCGGAGGGAATCGAAAGGGGAGGGCGTGTCGAAGGGGGGATACGAAAAATGGGCAGGGCGGTGCGGAGAGAGAGAGGACGGAAGTAGTTGAGGGGAGCAGGGGGCTCGGGGGTGAGGCTGAGCGGTGCGGAGGATTGTGGTGGCCGGGGGGCGGGCGGCGGAGCGAGTCGGAGGGACAGAGTAAGTGGGAGACGACGGGCAGAGCGTGGCGGGGCGTGGCGGGGCGTGGCGGGGCGTGGCGGGGCGTGGCGGGCGTGGCGGGGGCGTGCGGGCGTGGCGGGCGTGGCGGGGCGTGCGGGGCGTGGCGGGCGTGGCGGGGGCGTGGCGGGCGTGGCGGCCGTGTGGCGGGCGTGGCGGGCGTGGCCGGGGCCTGGCGTGGCGTTGCCGGGGACTGCGGAGCGTGGCGTGG